GGCGTGCTCTTGCCGTGCCGAACTGAATGCATGGTCCGCTGCATCAGCTGCCGTTACTTTCAAGCATTGAAAGTGGTACGTCTTCAGCAGAGCAAACTTCTTCCGATCCTCGGCTCGACTGAATTTATATATTCGACGTTTGAAACCACTGCCGTTCTTTTGTCATGCCACTACCGGGCCAAATTCATTTGAGTTCGGCATGGCAGTAGCACGACGTTTGGAACAGGCTTAAGGTATCAGTCAGTACCCTAAAATTGTTCATTTTTCAGAAAAAAAATTATTTTTCCATTTTTTAGATAAACAAAATTCTGGTCGGCAAAAACTTCGAAAATCGGTAACTTCGAAAATCGGCAAAAACAGGCAGGTTTCAGAAAACTCTAGCTGAACAATAGTTGTCATCACTGACACTTTTCTACCCCAGTGTGACCCTACTCAGTTTTGACGCAAGTTTTTGCTTTCCGGTTGTTTTTTTGGTCGGCAAAGATGAAAGCTTTGCCCAAGTGCGACCCATCATGATAATAGTCAACGAGCTGGTCAAATTTCACATTAACGGAAGTCACGCAGATCACTGATCCATTTCACTGGGGGGACGGCGCGCTAATCATTTGATGAAACACGAAATGCTCTACATTTGTCGCTTAACCATTGAATTGGAGCCCAACCAAATCGTAAAACGCTAAAACATTAACAATGCGCTGAACTGTGCATTTCGAATACACTTAACCGTTTAATTTAATTGATTCTAAATTATATGCAACGTTTGCATTTTTTGGCTGTTACGGCGGACCATAGTTGCCCTAGGGGGGATGTTCAAGCTTTGAATTGATCGGCGCATAACTCAGTCAATCGTAGTTTTTAAATTCGGAATTCGGAGTCGATGATAATCAATTGTAACGTCCACGAACTAAAATAAACCTACAGTAATGAACAATGTATTGCATCCGATCATCAAATGATCGACTGCAACCATTACATAAGTTACAAAAGACTGGTTTGGCAATCAAAAGTAGTTATTCTATTACGTTAGACTGACCTAGACTGACTACTACGCAAGGAGGTTTGATCGCATTAATGCAGTTTTCGAGAATTATTTCAACAACAGATTACTTCAGTTTAAAAGTTAGTGCAATATCCTTGTTTGCCAATGCTCGACAATGTGTAGTACAGATACAGAGATTTATGAAATAACTGTTCAAGGAAACATCTATACACAACTAAACTTATAGCAGATTTCTTGAGCAGACAGGTTTGACTTGAGTGGGAGTGGGGGGAAATACCCTCATTCCTTTAGGGTGGCTGCGCCCACAGTGCAAGTGGCAGTGAAACCGAAACGACAGCGTAAAAGTCTTTTTGTTCACAGCTAATAAAAAATAATGACAATACTTAAGTTGCTTTGGCCTCTAACTCGACAATTCTGGGTTTAATTCGACGAGGAACAGCATATTTTTTTCTTACCTGGCGACTGCGATAGATGAGGGAGTTGCCGAACGTGGGAGACCTACTTTTGGCGCCAAGGGCTTGGAGACACAAAATGTTTCGTGTTTTTCACGTTTTACAATCTGCAGCACTCTAATATTGTTTTTAAAGTTATAAATCCCTTTTCGTGAATACTCAATGCCATCTCCAGTGAGAAAAGTTGCCCGACTGCAATACCTTTCCTGTTACCATACATCTTCCCGACTTTTCTAGGAAGATCGAAGCTACCTCTGATCGCAGGGTATTGACGTCATGACAGTGCAGTCAATTCAAATTTCAGGCGCATGGGTCGCATGCAGGGTGAACCTGGCTTATTAGAAGCCGCCGCTTATATGATTAGATTCCTTATTATACGGCTAGCTTCGCGAGCGGGCAACTTGAATCAAATCCTGCGCTGTGATTGGCTACCCGTGAGTGTAAGATGGAGCTATCTTGCCCACTTGAGACTACCCGCAGTGTCCCGCGAGAAAAATTACCCCAAAAGCCATATAATAAATCCTTTCTTGACCAAGCTTGCTCGGTCAAGATGGCTGGATATTGGCCTCGTTCTTTTTTTGCTTGTTTATGGACCTCGACTCCGTGTCGGTCCATAAACACGCAAAAAAGAGAACTTGACCAATATCCAGTCTTATTATATGGCTTGCTCCGTGAGCGGGCAAGATGAATCAAATCCTGCGCTGTGATTGGCTACCCGAGCGGGCAAGATGGAGCTATCTTGCCG